GTAGGTGGAGCGTGTGGGTTGTAATTTGTATAAGTGAAATATTCATATAATTTAACATTGGGAAAGGTATGAATCCTCTTCTTGCCCCCCCCCCCTCCTCCAGCTATGGGTAAATAGCAGAACAGACCAGGTTCTATAGCCTTGGGTGGTAACTGTTCTACCACAAAAAGAAATGGCAACTTACTGCGGGAAAAAAATCTACTTTGTCAGTCATATATCGAAAAATACATGATCGCCTAAGTGTATATCACGCATGGCACATAACTGACTGATACTGGAGAGAATATAAGACATTTAAGTTACATGAGCATACATCAAGTGGTCAGAGATAAGAAGACGCTGTGATTGGCTCTTAAGTTTTAAATTTCCAATTATTTATGGTACATTTTGATTGGTGTTAAAGAAGCATCATTTGTTTACTACTATGAAACAGAACATGAAAGAGTTCCCCTTCAAGTTAATGACTCTGCAAAGTGCATGTTTGCAGTTTACCTATCTTGTATATAAAGAGGACCTTGGAAATGCTAACTAGAGTCGACAAAAAGCTGCTAAAGGAATTTGGGTTGCCCTGGTCGAGAAGGAAAATGATGCAGAAGAATTAGATAACCCATCAGAAGATGGTAATTGAAATGAACAACCCATTCCACCCATTCCATTTTGGCTCATGTGATTGATCTTTGCTGTTACCACATGAAAAAGAAACAACAAATTTTCTTCATAGAAAAGTGCAATAAATTTCTGGCAAATATTCAGAGAAGCATTTCTCATTTTCTTTACTAAATGTGGTTTTTATTTTGGAGAACCTTCTTAGGCATTATGTTAACAGCAGTTAGCTAAATTTGTACAAGGGGTTGAATTTGAATCTTATAGACAATAATATAATTTTATTTATAAAAGAGCATGTTTGTTTTTATTGTTTAATTTACAACATTAGTTACACAAAGTACTAGATTTGTGTAAATCTTTTGTGTGTTGTTATTAATAAATTTTATCATAGTTTTTAAACTCAGCTTTTGTCATTTGTTGAGTACCTATAATTGTTGTTACCTCAAACATTTGTTTGAAATATTTTTTGTAGGATATTCTTTACCAAAAAAATCCTTTCAAAATGCTGATGTATCGAGATTTTTTGATATCTTATGAAAACCATCAAATCAAGGATTCTGAAGAAAGTACTAGAGTATTGAGAAGGCTTAGTCATGTGACCTCTAGAGGAAGATACAGCTGCTATAAAAATAATCCACTTTTTAAAAAAATGAGGGATACTGCCCATTTTTTGTTTTCTTTTATCATTATCAAAGACTAGAATCATTTGAATTCAATCAATGTTAAAATTTGAGTACAATTAAGATAAAGTTTATCTACATGGTTTTAAAGATAAGCATTTGAACAATGGCTGCCACCCATCAATTATTGGAAAAGGCAATCCTTTATTTAATTCTTTTGTTCTTTGCTGAATTTGCTAAGTAAAACAACAATGACATTTTCAATTATTTTGTGTATCAACAGGAAGTAAATTAAAATTACTATTTATATATTACTCTTGTATTGTTCTCGCTCATTAATAATGCTTCTCTTTTTTCTTATTCTTTCACACTCTGTAACCCCTTGTGTCTTAGTGGCTTTACTGCTTTGCATGGGGTGATGTGATTAAAAATATTTTTAATTTCTTTATATTCTTTCTTATAACTTGGCAGATATGGAAACCTTCAATATACCTAAAGAAAAAACTTTCATATGAAAATGTGTTATTAAACAGTATTAAATACCATCCTGATTTTGATTCAAAAGAAAAAAAATCCTTAAATATAAATTATTTAAATGTTTCTCAATAGTACCAAGCACAGAAAATTGGTTATTTAGCATTGGATTAATTTTCTGAAATAGTGTTGACAGGATTGCTTATTGGAAAAATCAGTCCATTATTTAGTTGTCTTCATCCTTTGTTGAATTTGAAAGGTTAAAAACAATGTCACTTTTAATTATAGCATATATTTATGGGAATTATATTAAAAATGACTATATATATAATTTTTTTCTTCATGTCCTTCATTAAAATAATAGAGTTGGCAGCCCAAATTTAGACTGTACACTCATCAAAAATGGAATATCATCTTTTTGACTGATAATCTTTGAGGTTCTTGGCAGTAGACAATTCCAACAATTTTGATACTGACACATGAAAAACCTCAGAGATGTTAAGATTTGCAAACTTAACAGTAAATTTTCATTTTAACACCTGAGTGCTAATATCCCTTCAGATTTTTCCAAAATAGTCTTATTTCCGTGCAAGTGTATATGCTGAACTCAAATCAACAATTAGATATTGAAGAAACCTACCTTTTTGGATGTTAATGACTCGAAAAAAAATCGGACTTTTTCCTGGTCTTTTGTCAGCCATTACTGGCTTATTGATAAGTAATTCAGTGCTGAATTTTGTTGGGGGACGTATACAATTTGGGCCTATTTACTTCCTTCACAGTAATTCCTTGTAGTTAACTTTCAAATTAGGGTTAGGTGGGGTTTTTTTTGTTATGCTTTTGTTTTTTTAATTTTTTTTTTAAGAAGAAAGTTAACTTTCAAATTAGGGTTAGGTGTTTATTTTTTCTTTTGTTATTCTTTTATTTGTCGATGTTTACATATATTTGAAAGTTAACTTTCTTCTTAAATTAAGTACAAAAAAAAAAATGGAAGCGCGTACTAATTTCTGAAAGAAAATAGTTCAGCAGTAAATGACGCTCGGGTGTTAAAATGAAAATTTACTAACTTAACTTCATATGAGTGTTGTCTACTCATATTTATTCTATAGATACAAAATCTTAATTAGTTTGATTTTTGCTTTTCTGGGATATAAAATTTGGGATTCAAATAGCATTCTTTAGAATTGATAATCTGTTCAAAGTTCTGAAGTCAGTATTTGTTTATTATTATTACAAATTTTATTCCATTTTATTATTGTTGCTTTTGATCCCAAAAAGCTAGGTCCATAATAAAACAATAAAAACTATGAAGAATGTATTGACCCAGAGGGTTGGGATAAAAAGCAGCAATAAGATGATGGAATGCAACTATTAATAAATAATTATAACATTTCTGATATGTATACTAAATCTGGTTTTCTTTTATTTACATTTGGAACTCTATGTGTATGTGCATGCATATGTGTTGGTGGGGTGGATATGGATCTTGTCACTTCTGGCATGAGTGTGACTCAAGTAGCTGAGTCTTGAAATCTGTCTGAAAACAGAATTTTCATACCTGGATCTTTGAATTACTCAAGTTGAACTGATGGAATGATTCAGAAAGATAATAATAATAATAATAAAATCAATAAAAAAAATACTCAACGATACAAAATGATTACCAAATGCAGTCACTATTTGAGAAAGGTCAGAGGAAAAAATACAAATTGGTCAAAATTTTGTGATCAAAACAATAAGGATAAGGATACTCGTCTGAATAATTAGTAATCATAATTCTTCATCTCTGAATTTCAGATATTAAGGACAATTGGTAAAAACTCTTAAATACTGTTCTGAATATTTAGAGCTAAAATTATAGGGGACATAGCCGAAAAGGGATTTTCATCTGAAGATTCATTAAAAAAAAAAAAAAAAAAAAATTAACAGAAGGACAGTTTGCAGCAAACCTAATTCTCACTATCATGATTTAGTGAATGTAAAAGAAAATTCAGCGATTTAAATTACCTAGGATCATACTGTTATGGTTGCCAACTGTCCTTTATTAAAAAAGGATAGTCTTTTGAGCTTTATCTGCCCTTGACTTTTGTTGAATTTGGAAGATAAAAAAAAAAACAACATTGCTAATTATATTATCTGTCTACAAGAAAATGACTATATAATTTTTTTCTATATGTCATTTATTATAACTTGACTGAGTTATCAATCCTACACATCACTATGCCGTATTTATATAGTCACGCTATCTGATATGATTAAAGGGCAAACATGGACCTTTGTGCCCTCCCAAAATATGGAGTGTCAAAAGGACAGTTTTTCTCATGAAACCACTTTTATTTTAACTCTCCCAATTTTTAGCAATGTTTGTTTTAAAAATCAATGATTAGAATTATAATAAAACCTGAACATGATAAATAAATTTATACATTTTTTTTTATTCTTGAGAATTTACAAGAAAAATATTAAAAACTATTTATTAGATTGTTTATTTACAAAAAATAATTTTATATTTACAACATTCTAAAAACTAATAAATTAAAACTATGCAATATTTATCATTTACCAATTTATGAAGAAATAAATATGAAAATAATTTTTTATTCATGAATTTATAAACATTTTAAAAATTATTAAAATATGTAAATCATTATTATTTACTAAAATTTGAATCAATTGGCAATTAGCCATTCCAATAAATAATAAATACTAATTAAACAATCTAATAAATAGTGTTTATTATTTTTGCTCTCAGTTCTCAAGAACCAAAAAAAAATGTATAAATTCACTTTCATGTGTTTAGGTTTTATGACAGTTCTAATCATTATTTTTTAAAACAATAAACATTGCCAAAGAGTGAAGGTAGTTAAAATAAAAGTGGTGTCATGGGAAAAAAACATCCTTTCAACACATTGATTTTTTTGCTGGCACAAATGTTTATGCCTGCCGAATAAAGAGTTTATTACGTCAGAAAGTGATTTCGTAAAAAGCAAAATGAAGATGTTAGGATATTATTAATAAGGAATAATGTCTTTTCATCTTATACTGGTCACTTTACCGAAAACTTGATATTTTTTTCATCTCCGAAGGATTCTATCCATAGTCCCAAGGTTATCCTTTGCCTTCTGTAGAACCTGCTAACATACATCAAAAAGATTTCCTTCTTCAGTAACTCGTGACTGATCGATCACACATCTCTTTAATGATGACAAAGTCTTTGAGGGCTCTTGGAACAGGCAGGTTTTCAACATTCTGTTGGATTTTGTGTCCAAGACGTTTTCGGATACACTTGCGGCATAGTACCTGTAATGATGTGACTGTTTGCAGTTTCTTCCGCAACCATTGTACTGCAGCATCACTGTCGCTGACCCGTGTCGGAAAGTAATTTGTGTGGAAGAAGACACGTGCACTGAAATCGAGGTATCCGAACTGTGCAAGTAGACGGCATGTCTCGAAATGGCCTTTCTCCGCCGCAATCTGAAAGAGGGACTTGTAGACACCGTCCGAGTAATACTTCCCAGGCACTTCTAAATCGCAATTGTGTTCAATCATTGCTTGAATGATTTCAATTTTGTTTGAAACGACTGCATCGTAGGCAGCTGTCTCTCTCTGGTGGTTGTAGATATCATAACGACTGCCAGCTGCTAGCAAGAGGCGTACGACAGACGTGTAGTTCCTGCGAATTGCAATGTGAAGGGCTGTATCCCCAGTTTTAAACTCGCGTCGATTCAAATCGCAGTTAGCTCTGATGAGCAGTGCCACAGCCTCTTTCTGGTTGTAGCAGACGGCTTCCATGCAAGGTGTTCTTCCCCAATAGTTCTGGACATCTACTTGACTTCCCGAAGCCATAAGAAGGTCGATAATGTCAACTCCTCCATTTCTGGCCGCGTAGTGGAGGGCCATATCACTGTTTCTATCTGTTATGTTTAAATTGCAGTTAGCCCGTATCAGTTTTAGCACAGCATCTGTCTTAATGTTTCGAACGGCCTTCATCAAGGGAGTTTTTGAGGTGATGTCCTGACTATTCACGTCAGCTCCTCGTCGGATCAGCACGTCCAGAATTTGGCAGTAGCCGTCGTCAGCGGCATAGTGACATGGAGAGTTCCCAAATGTGTCTTTTGAGTCAAGTTTTGCTTTCGCTCCGATCAGTAGAATCATACATGCCATTCTGTGATTGAGCACTGCAAAGTGTAATGCGGTTCGGCGTAAAGTAGTAGTAGTCTGGTTGACGTCACACTTTGATTCGATGAGATACTGCAACATGTATGTGTACCCGCGATAAGACGTGAGGTGAATTGGACACAGGTCAGCATGATTTTTTTTGCGCACTTCGACAAACTTGGCATTAAGATCAATTTTATATTGAGTTACAAGGCGTTTCAGCTGGGCCAACTCATTGTTCAAGACAGCATCATAGAACTCCAGTCCTGCCATTTGGGTTCGAAGTAACATTATGGAAATTTGAGAATTATCTACTTGAATACAACAGAGGAAAGATTGCAGATAAAAAAAAATTAAACAGTCTTCGCGATTATTAGAATCTTGTAACTGTAACCAGTACAGTGGTAGATTTTGGATGCTATTTGGTCCTCAAAACAAAACAACCCAGCCTTGGGGAGTAATAAGTGCTGAGAAGGAAAAGAGATGTTATATAATTATTAAACTTTTAACACTCTTTTGAAATGTGTGCATTTATTATGACTGGCAATTGTTTCAAAATGCTATCTGGGAATGACAGCTGATTGGAAAGAAATGAAAGAAAACTGGGATAAATTATCACAGAAAAAGAACATATCAAACAATGTCAGTAATGTTTGAATATATACGACTTTTTAATCAAAGTTAATGTTCCTTGTTTAATTAGTAAACTGCAAAGAAATTGAATCAGAGAGGGTTATGTAAAAAAAAAAAATTAAAAAAAATAGTGTTTTTTATCTTTTTTTTTCTTTCTTTCTGGTGTCGGAGCGATTAATTTTATTAAATTTAAATTTTTATTTTTATTTTAGTTGAACGGCTATAGTTTCAACAAGAGTTAAATGGAGTTGCTGAGTTTCCATTTCGTTCACCTGTCGACTTATGGATGTCAGAGAAAGGGTTCTCAAAAAGGGACAGTTGTCATTCGCCAAAGAACAAAGTAACGACACAAGAAATCTGTATCCATTAATTTAAAAAGAAAAAAAAAGTATAAATGAATTTTTTTTTTTTCGTTACTGTTGAAAACTGAGTAATAATAAGCCTGGTGAAGTTGGGTTGCCCCTGCCTATCAGTTGTGGGCAGGGATTCGGCTTTCGTGTAGGGGTCAACCAATAGGCAAATAACAGACGGTTTTGTGAGTGATATACGGTCATGACGTAGGATAGGGCCGTTCTCAGACAGTACAGGACAGACAAATTAGAAATTATTAAAATTTTACAATTAAAAAAACAAAAAACAAAACATATTCTATCTCACCTGAAATTTGTATCTTCGAGTAGATAGAGATCACACGTCTAAAATGTTTACCAAAAAAAAAAAAAATTAATAAAAATAATAACAATTTAAGTGGAAAGTACTGGACATTTATACAGGTCACTGCCTTATTTCTGGAAACAGAAGAGGAAAAAAACACATTCTCCTTCACTCACTTCCTCTCTCATTGTTTTATGCTGTTTCTCTCCGACTCTCCTTCCTCTCTTACTGTTTGTCTGTGGCGCTCTGAAAAAACGTAAACACCAAAACAGGTGCCTTTGGTTGTTGACAGATGAAGTGACGTAATGTTTGTTAATAGGCCAAAGAAAGATGAAGCCCGCAAATCTTCTCTGACACAAAATTGTCAAAAGGCTGAACCTTTTTTTGAACTTATCTTTCAGATTATCTTTTTTTTCTCCGATAGAACCCCGTGCATCCACTTCGGATTCCTTTTTCGCATCATTACAACGATCATTTATTATTATAATGATATCTGAAAGCGAGGCTACTTTAAAGGGAGGCTACTCTTATATTCTTTATTACGTCTTATTTTCCCTTAGATTGTTAGATTCGATACTAATTCAGATTAACTAAGTATGACACAAAGCCAAATATATAAGAATGTGTAGCGCCATTTTTTTTAAAAAAGTAGCATTCAAAATTCAAGCTTTTAGTAGAACTATATTTTCTAAGATTTGTTTTTTTTACAACATAAGACACTTTTACTTAGAATCAGAAAAAGGCAACTGAAATTAAAGAAAGAGGGCTTGGAGAATTTTACACGCTCAGGACATATTGGATGTAAGAGCGACAGAGGAAAGCAGCGAATAATCGATTTAACGAGCTTGTGTAAATGGATGGTAGAACAGGGATAAGGAGAGATAGCAAAAAGACTAGTTTTATTAAGTTCTACAAAGGATAGGAAGTTGTGGAGAGCCATGATCGTCTATGTTCTGACGGGACATGGTACTGAAAAGAGTTCTGGTATGAAGACCTATTTTTACACTTTCATATAGTGTTTGACCCCAGTTTGGAGATTAACTATTTGTCCATAGCTGGGGCCCTAATAGGTGCTACCATCCCAGGTCAGGGTGGACCTGGGAAAACCAGCAATTAAGAGGTGGTGCCACACTCCTCAAAACCTCCTGATCAGAGGCCTTGCTGCCGGACGTAATTTATCGTCTTACTCAGGATGCAGATGTAGTTTATTGTCATACCCAGGACAGGGAATCTATCTCTTCAAAGGCTATGGGTAAATAGCCTGACAGACTGGGTTTTATAACATCGGGTGGCAACTGATATAGGAAAAGATAAATTCTGAATTCAAAACCTCCAAATATAGGTAGGGTATTCTTGGCTCTGTAGCCACGGTTGGCAACCAGACTAGGAGAAGGACAACTCTGAATTCAAATATGGAGCTGGAGTCACTGAGACAGTCTGATGTCTTGTTTCATTCTGGCAACTCCAACAATGACACCAGTGTCATAAAACAATCCATACATTCAGTTCAAAGTAAAAATAAAATCATCCTTGATAATGGCTAAAAGTATAGCCAAAATTCCTCAAACATACAGAACATTCGGTCATGGGCACCTCGAGGCAGTGTAATGCAAGCTTGTCTCACTAGAACAATTACGACAGAGTAGTGAGTTCAATCCTCACTGGGTGCCTCTACTTTTGGCCTTGTGCCACATCTAAGCTACGCTTGGAAAATCACTACAGACATTCGGTCAATTAAAGTTAAAACGAAAAAAAAAAAAACCTAACTGCAGTACCTTGTCATTCAATTTTTTAATGATACTTATGTATGTGTGTATATATACATTTGTGTGTTCAAGTTGTCTGCAGATCATGTAGGCATGAAACTTGGGTCATCCTTTCATAGGAATTAACATTGTCAAGTGTTTTTGCTCTGTCTAGGTAGTCAAGGTGTTGGACATTTTACTGATTAGATAGGTGTTTGCCTTTAGGTCTTTTTTCATTAAGGGTATTTAGTTACTTTGGCAGGTTTTCCATTGGTTCCACCAATGATTTTGTTATTTCTTTAATATAATTAATATATATAATACACACACCTAAAATTGTGCTGAAAGTGTGGGGAAAATATTTTTACTCATGCATAATACATACCCCTTGTTTGGCAATCAAACCCTATAAATTTTACTTCTCCAATTTCATTACGGCCAGTGTTCTTATTTAAAAAAATGGTTTTAAACATAGAATAATATTATTGTGATTTAGGTTTTGATAATTCTTATTTTATTTTAAGGCAATTTTTTAAAGATTTTTTTGTACTTGGGCATAATACGCACCCTTGATTTTGCTAATTATTATACATAGGGAATTATTGTATATATGTTTAATTAACATCAGATATTTTTACATATAGTGCTCAATATTAAAATAATATTAAAAATAGAGCATTAATAATATTATATGGAAAGATTACTTAACTTCTAAATATGAATTTATATATATATATATATATATATAAGATATATATTACTTAACTTTTAAACATCAATTTAGCTATTTCAAAAATAAAAGGGTGGGAACTATATGCCAATCTAGTAGCAGGCTTAAATTCATGTAGTTGAGACATCAACTAAAAAGCTTGTAAGAACAGTTACCATATTTGTAGAAAAGACAGAGGGAAGCCACATCACATCTGTGAGAAAGTAACTGAAGTCGAGATGCCAAGTTAGGATCAATTACATTGCAGATCCTTCTTTGGATTTTGTCAAGAAACTCGAGATGAGTAGCAGAAGCACCAGATCAGATATAGCAAAAGCATTCAATGCATGGACAAATGATAAATTTATAAATGTGCAAGATATATTTGACGAGAAAAACCTTCTGGCACGGCACAATGACCCAACTTTCAAGTCAGTTGAAAATGTGAGACCAAGAAGGTACAGTGAGACACTATCCTGGAGTTGAGCATCAGCCATGCTGATGGCAGACAGGGAAGTTTCCCTGTGGTGGTGAATTGAGAGCAGTTTAGTTTTGGAGTCATTAAAATTTACAAGCCATTTCTTGCCACAGTTAACCACTGATTGGAGGTCCTTTTCACGAACAGGTTAGGTTAACTTTGTCAGCTCTGGATTTGCTATTGAGACAGGAGTAAATGTTATTGTCAGCTGCATAAATGCCTACTTGGGAACTGATGACATCAAGAAGATCATTGATGAACATGAGAAGCAGCAAAGGGCCGAGGATAGAGCATGGTGATGGGGGACACCCATGTTCATGTGAAAAGGATCTGGAAGCAAGCTCATTCAGAACGACCTTCTTTTCAGGATTTGAAGAATAGCAGGAGCACCAGACTAGATATGCCAACAGTATTCAATGCATGGGCGAATGGTAGATTTGTAAATCTGCAAGATGGACTCTGTATCATGTCAGAAGATTTTTCTTGTCAGCGACCCAACTTTCCTTATAGTAGATGCAGCTACTGATTTGATGAAGTTGTTCCACTTCAATTCGGTTGAAAAAGCAAGGCCAAGAAATCACAGTGTGTCATTCTCAAGTAGTCTAGCATCAGTCATGCTGATGGTGGGCAGGAAAATTTCTCTATGGTGGTTGATATATATTTATTAAGTGATGGACGTTAGCACATCAATGGTAGATCTGGCAAAATGGAAGCCATATTATTTGTCAGAGAGTAAGTCATGAGAAGTTAGATGCTTAACCACTTCAGCATTGATTAAAGCCTCAAATACTTTGCCGAAAAGCAGTAGGAGACTAATAGAGAGGTCAGAAGATTCTCCAGAGTTCTTAAAAACAGGGACTAGAGGAGGACTTCCAACAAGCTA